TCTTCTTCTTCTTCTTCTTCTTCTTCTTCTTCTTCTTCTTCTTCTTCTTCTTCTTCTTCTTCTTCTTCTTCTTCTTCTTCCTCATAGCTGCAAGCATTGTTCTGATCTCTCTTATGTTTCTTCCCAAAGGTGATGGGATGGATTTTGATCTCCAGTGTCACCATATTAGCTCTAATTTCAACTTGTATTTCTCGCTGTCGTTCACCAGTCAGCATTCTTCACCTTGCATTCTGGAAAATCTACATGGCAAAGGAGCAAGAACTTTTTGAGATCAAGGCCAAAGAACATGCAGCCAAGCTGGCAGAGAGAAATCTAAAATGCTTCTTTGACTCCACTGAGCTAGAACCATTTCAGACTCCAAGCACCCGCAGCTGGCAAACCATTTCCTCCTTGTTTGCCTTTAATCCTGAAGAGCATTACTATAGCATGATACACAAATATGTCAGCAGCAAAAACAAGAATGGCAGCATTATATCCGCAGAGGGGGATATGTTTCCTTCTTGCTTGGGGTTTGTGGATGCCGCTGTAGGTACTGATACAGAAGTATTATAGTGAAATAATTTGGTAGTCCTTCAATTTCTTTTGCAAGATAATCTTAGCTGGTTAGCCAAACCAAATTCCATGTAATAATACTTTCTAACTCTGTGGAGTGGCATTTAACTCTGTGTGCTCATTCTGTATTGATTTTAATTTGTTTAACATTTGTGATATCTGTTTTTTGTAGCTTCTGTTTTCTTAGCCACCTTCAGTTTACAGAGACAAGGTGGTGTATACATATTAAACAACATATGCAAGCTTTTGAGTTATCCGGGTCTCCTCATCAGGCAGGATGTTAAAAACCAAAAAGGGAGTGGGGGAGAAAAACACTTCAGGCCATAGTGTTGAGATCTTGAGAAGAACTCAAAAGCTTGTACAATGTGTTGAGTTAGTCTGCTTGGCCCTAGTAAACATCATTACGTGGATTCTGGATTTTATTATGGAACAAAATTGGGGGTAATTGATCGATGTGGGATACCTTTTGGGTATACTGATTATGCTGTTGGTTGTATCATAAAAAGGGTTTGGCTACGACTATTACTGCTTTTGAGAACAGTACCATATGGTCTTCATTTAATACCATTATAATCTATCTGATCTATATAAATGCAAACTCTTGATCCAACATGAGATCATTGCACGTAAGCAACCTATTGTGTATTTTGCCTGTAGGAAGCACATCTGAATATATATGCCCCATGGAAGGCCTATTGAATTGGCTCCATGTGTCTTTGATGGGAATAGGGTGGCATGTTCACATCCTGTGTCAACCATTATTAGATTACTAGTTGCCCAAAACTATGAATGAATTGGGATGTATCATATTTTGCTGTTTTCAATAACGGGTTCTTTTTGCCTTATTACTCACTGAACATCAAATATTTGTAATGCTTAACAAGGAGCATGGTTAATTTTGGGGTAATTCTTCTGATTATTATCCAGGTATTTCTTCTATTTGAATTTGTGCTTTTGACAATACTGTCATTTTAACATAGATCATATCTATGAGCTGAATTCTAGGAAAGGTGGAAAATACTCATGGACAGGGCTATTTTGGGGCAGGAACGCACAGGAATGGAGTTCCGGCTGGCTTCCAAGTTCCCACACCTACAGCCAAAACATCTGCGCATATGTTGGCTACAGAGGGAAGGTCTGGAGAGTGACCCCCCCTGGCGACTCCGAGGCCGCCGGTCCAGGGGGCCCCTGGAAGGATTGGGCCTTCCCCAGCCTGTCCAAGGGCTGACTTGCTCGGGCAAGCCAAGGGAAAGCAGTTTAAACAGCCTTCCCTTCCCTTCAAGGGGGGGCTTGCCTGGGCTCCACACAGCCACGGGGCACCCGGGCAAGCCAAAGGAAGGCAGTTTAAACTGCCTCCCCTCCAAGGGCGGGCTTGTCTGGGCTTCCCGCAGCCACAGGGTGCCTGGGCAAGCTAAGGGAAGGCAGTTTAAACTGCCTCCCCTCACCTCCAAGGGGAGCCTGGGCAAGCCAAGGGAAGGCATGAGTGTGTGGCCTAATATGCTAATGAGCTGTGTCATCAGGGTGTGGCCTAATATGCTAATGAGCTGTGTCATCAGGGTGTGGCCTATTATGCTAATGCGTTACTGCTGGGCTTTTTCTACAAAAAAAAGCCCTGCTCATGGATGCAGATTTTTCCTTCCTCTGTGTTCCCCCAGCACCCCTATGAGAATTCCAGAAATCTGGCACTGGAGGCCACAGGATCAGCATAGAAATAGTCACCCAGTTTGCAGAAGTGGGCACAATTTTCCCACCTTGCTCTTGCCCCAATGAAATCATCACTGGTAGAAGGGAATGATGGGGATTATTCACCTCAACTTCCTTTCCTTACCATAAACCATCCCCCTCACCTTCCACATGTTTTTTTGTTTGCTTGTTTTTGTGGGGTTGGCAACCCCCAGTAACTACTTTTCAGAGATCTCACAGAAAGAGAGAGAACAGAGTGCCATTGTCCATGACTGTCGTTGCTTTCAAACATCAATCCAGTACAGCAAATATAAAGCATAAAGCAAAGCAAACAGATACTTGGTATCTGTCTACCTGCCTGCTGTGTTTTTATTGTGCTCATTCTCTAAGGGCTCTAAGCAGCAGGAGTGGAATATTCCCATTAGGAATACTAGGCAGAGTGTGAATGACTGGCTCAAGGTCACCCAGTGACTAGATTCATGGCCAAATGACAATCTAAACTCAAATCTTCCCAGTCAATGTCCCAACACTCCAACTAGTATTATATGGCTCCTCTCATCAGTACCAAGAAATGAAGTGAAATTAAATGCGGGTGTTTCTGAACAGCTATAAGCACTCATGGCTGCCAGAATTTTCCAAAGAGTGCAGCCTGGAGGTCTGGAGAACGGAAAGGAGAGTATTTGGGGTAGGGCTCCAGGAAAAACCAGGCTGAGAATGACATGAGAGAAGGAGCAAAGTGCTACAGAAGGAACTGCCTTCCACATGGAAGCTTGAGCCTTCTCAGCTGGTTGCCAGTGAGTCCCTGCGAGAGATAAGCCCCTTGTGTTTGTTTTGGTGCTGGATCCAGCCTTCCTTCAGCTTAAGAGTCCCTTCAATAGCAGAAAGAGTAAGCATCCTTAGACTGGAGGAAGGCTTCAAACTTCAGTTACTGGAGCGATAGCAGAGGGGTAGGAGCCACAAGGTGACTTGAGTATTCTATGCTGAGATTTGCAGTTTTCAAATGTGATCTCACAAAAAAACATCTTCCCTTTCCATAGAATCACAGGGTTGGATGGGGCTATACAGGCCATCTAGTCCAGCCCTCTGCTCAATGCAGGATCAGCCTAGAGCATCTCTGACAAGTGTAATCTTTCTGCTTGGTTCATAACATTTTTTTGTAAGTTGTTTGAACAGATGCACTTAAATTGTGCAAAATAGTCTCTCTCCACTTCATTATATTTTCCAATGTGGCTTTCAGAGTTAAGTTGGCTTGGGGAACTGGTGGGGCATCAGGTCCCTCAGGGTTGGTTGGAGAGGGTGTTCGACGTGTGCGTCACCTGGAAGTGACGGGAGGACGCCAGGCACGCTGGGGGCGGGGCCACGGCCATCCAAGGGAACATTCTATGGTTTTCCCTTGTATGGCTGTGGCCCCGCCCCCAGCGTGCCTGCTGTCCTCCCGTCACTTCCGGGTGACGTGTGTGCGGCGCACGTGCACGCGCACCAAATGCCAGCCGAAAGTCCGCCGCTCCCGGCGAAGATCCACTTGGCAACCCTATGGAGATGGATGTTGTAAGGGGGAAGCTGGGAGGATGGAGATTCTGGTGGGGGTCTTTTAGTAGCAGTTTTAAGGACAGATGGGCTAATGAGATCCATCCAGTCCAACAGTCTGGCTAAAACCCAGGTGCCCACTATTGCCCCCCTGGCTTAAATTAGAACGTTTTCTGTAATGAGACTTGATACTCTTTTCAGTTAGAATGTTTAAATAATTATTAAAATTATTCTCACAAAGTTATGGTAATGGTTATGTTTAAATTTCATGTTTCTATATTTTGTATGTTCGTAAACTGATATTAAAAAAAATAAAATGTAGGCTGGCTCACAACTTTTATGGTTTGGCTCACAAAGAAATTTTTTTGCACACAGAGCTTCAGAGTTTAGAGGGAACATTGGTGCAATCCCAGCCCCAGAACAAGACAAAAGGGATCAGGCCTGGATGAAGCCAAGAAAGAAACTCTGTTCTTCTTAGTTGCAGAAAGTAACCAGTGAACAAAAGAAAATGGAACAGGGGTTGGACTTGGCATCCCACGGCTAGAGTAGCAGCAACCTAAAATGCACCGAGCAGATGTTTTCCCTAGAATTAACATTCTTGATTACCACCCTGGGATGATCACAATTCCGGAAACAGTTTGATTGTTCTCCTGCTTTGTTTTGTTCTTATCCTATAGTTTTGGGTTAAATTAGCCAGGGAATATAGTTGTGAGGACAGCACATGCAAAGGTCTGTGTATTATACAAACCCCTTATCCAATGTATTGTCACATCGTTTTATGAGATAACTTCGAGGTCGTTATCAGTCAATTTTAAAGATTATATCCTTGAATAGATCTTTCCAGCATTTCTTAAAGGAAAATAGCAATTGTACAGTTTTCCAGTTCAGATCAGGAGTGCAGCTTTTTCCTAAATTGAAAAGCTCCAACCTCTTTTGCCTTTCCTCTTGGGATAGTGTCCTCACATCTTGATCTTGTTGGATTCTCTTTTCCATACTTTTCTGACTTTAAAATGGGGTGACCAGAACTGTATACCATATATTAAATGTGGTTTCCCCATAGCTCTCTACAGGACATTACAATACTAGGTATTTTATTTGCATTGTTTGTCATAGCTGATCTGGTTTAAATTAAACTCAAGGACAATCTTTCAACACTCTAGATCATACTAATCAGTAGTAAGTAATTGCACTTAACATTCTGAAATATCTCAGATAAAACATTTGAAAAAATGCCATCACAAATTACTAAATATATTTTAAAGCACAAAATATTTTATTTAGTTTTCGAGAAAGCAGTAATAAAATGGCAACTATGTTGCAGTGTTACATAAAAATTACAGACATTCATAAAGAGGTTCAGTTCAACCACAGTTTGGAGGACAGGAAACACAAGGTGGGTGAGGGCATGCAGAATCATCCAAAACCCACTCCCCAGATCTCCTACTCAAGCTTTCTCAGGAGCTTGAGCACGCTGATTACCGATCCTTTTCCTTTAATTGACCTCTCACCATCTATCCGGGGGCTTGCCAGTTTCTTAGATATAGTGATACTGTGGGTTCATGGACTCGGTCCATTCCCCTTCCCCTCTTCCCCTTTTTGGTTTGCACAACTATTTTTGGTCTGGGTATCTCATGTTTGAAAGCTAAGCAAACCCACCTCTCACCTTGCTTTCAAATTATGGTATGTAGCCAATTCTTGGTTAGTGCTGCTAACCCCAGCTTGCACAATACAGATGTCATGATGAACAATGACATTGCCTACCCCCACACACACCATCAGTTAGGAAGACATTCCTCCTTTTCCATCTGCTTTTCTTACCCTGTTAGGGCACTTAAGCTACTCCTTTCCTTATGCTAGGAACTAGTGCTGTTGCTGCTTATACAGAGCTAGAGGCCCAATACTCCTGGAAGATTATCTGTACTGCCAGTAACCAACCACTGGACACTTCTGTGCAGCTGTGTCCAAGAGGAGTAACCACAGTGGACGGTTTCCAAGCAGTTCAAGTGTCTGTCTGTCTCCCTTGGCCCCAGAACTAGGGGGTTCTTAGGCCTCAGAGCCAAACTAGACAAGATGGTGTCTCTGAGTTTGCCCTGGAGATGCACCTGAATTTTCTTGAGAGTGCCAATCCTTTCAATAGTGGGACATAGTGGTTAAGAGCAGTGGACTCTAGAGAACTGGGTCTGGGGGACCTTGGACCAGTCACAGTTCTTTCAGAACTCTCTCAGGTCCGCCTACCTCACAAGTTGTCTGTTGTGGGAAGAGGAAGGGAATATGCATTAAGCTGCTTTGAGACTCCTTAGGGTAGAGAAAAGCAGGGTATAAAACCTCCTCCTTCACAGCACTGCAAAAGTCTGATTCTGGTCAAGACCACCTCAGTACGAGAGGAGGCCCTTGTGGTGCTGTTAAAAGGAGCTCCTTAGTGGGGACTCCCCCCCCCGACGAGCTCAGCCACGCCCCCAACATCAGCCATCTGGTGACGCAGCTTTTGGGGGGCGGAGTCCCCCCTGGGGCCCGATTCCGCCGCGGCGGAAATCGGGCCTCCAAAGCGGGGGTTTCCCCGCCCCCTGCCCCCATTTGGCAACCCTAGGGAGGAATGATTCCATAATTATGGGGGGGGGGAGGTGCTTCCTAAAGCAGCAGAGTCACAGGGAAACAATGACAGCCATGAACATTCACATAATTTACTGGTTTCTGGAAATATTTCTGAGTTCCTGAAAGAACTTCTTGGGCCCCATAAATAAAACAAACAAATGCTTCATGCAACCTAATATCTGACGAAGTGAGCAGTGACTCCCGAAAGCTCATGCACTGCCACAGATTTTGTTAGTCCCTGAGGTGCTACTGGACTCCTGCTCTTTTCTACTACTAATATCCAAGAATGTGAAGGCAGACAGATAGGGCTCAAAGAACTCAGCTTATGCCAGGGGCAAGTAAACTTCAGCATATTCATCAGGTTGAGGATATTTGTTCAATTTTAACTCTCTCTGCTTTTCGTATCTACTACATTTTAAGCATAACTAGGAGAAGCCTGATGTTGTCTTCTTAAGCTTGCAGTGAAACGAGCCACATTCTATATGTGAAGACTTGCTCTGCTGCCCTCTGGTAACAACTCTGGGTCCTGACAGAGAGACAGAATTGTTCTTACTAAGACAGTTACAACGTTTACCATAATCATAGCATTCAATCCATGTATATCCTTCTTTATCAATCTCCATGGCGAGCTTATCACACAGTTAAACATAAGCCTTTATTTCAAAATAAAATTCATATAAAAATAATAATAAAATAGAACCAGGAAATTAAAGATTAAAAAATCCCTAAATATACAGCAGCAACAAAGATAGCCAATTCCCCCACAGGCCTCACATTAAAAAAAGCATCTTGCTTAGCCTTTTCCACGCTATGATAAACCTATGCAGAGAAGCCTTGGGCAGGGAGTGCCAGAGGGAGGGTGCAACTACCAGGAAAGCTCTGCTCTTCACAACTCCCTACATTAACTTCGGAGAAGAGCCCCCTCTGGTGACCTACCCATACGGGAAGGTTGTTAAAAGAGCAGGAGTTCACATAAATAGCTTGGACCATACTGTCAACTGATCTAGCTGGGAGCAGCAGTCACATACCCTGGGAGAGTAGGATGCAGAAATCTCACCCTGCACAGTACAATTTTTGTTGTTGTTATAATGGACCTGATCCAGGAAAGGATCCACAGGCAGAATCCCTGCTCTGTGTGGTTTCCCTGTCTGGATCAGGTCTTCTTTCTAGGCAGGTCAAAAGAGCCAAACTATTAGAGATCCATATTTTTGACCCTGGTTTCACTTATTTCTTTTCTTTTTTTTATCCTCAACTTTCTTTAAGAACGTAATTCCAATTTCTGTGGCTTCATCTCCCTTCAGTGGGTCCTGAATGAAAGTGACTTCAGCAGCAAGGTTTACCTGGAAATAAAAAAGCTTTGTCAGTTAACTGGAAGAAATCATTCCTCCCTCGTTTCTTTCTCCAGTTTGTTTGTTTTTAGGTGTATTCCTTTCAGCAAGAGGAACTTTTTAAGCCCTGTGCAGACTATGTTCATTAGGCGTGGAAATGATCATGTGGAGAGGATCGTGGGCCACACCTTCGGGCCCCGCCCTTGACTTCCACACATTCAAGGAGCTATTTGAACAGGAGTGCATGTGTACAGCTTTACATTGCAGCCCTATGTTCAATGCCATGATACATACTCTTTACAAATGTGGAGAAGGGACTGTACATAGGGAACTTAAGCACATTTTGGATCAGCTTCTATAAAAAGAGTACCTTGAACTTGAGTTTCCAGGCAAGATCATCAGTCCTTGTTAATAACATGAGTACAGGGCCTTATAATTTCATTAAACACTACACATTTAAGATCCGTAGCCATTGGTCTTAAAATACTTCCTGTTCTTTCTGTATTTGTAGATTTGAAATGCAAATTCAGTAGTTAAGTAGACAAGAATCACAAATGCAAAACAGAAGACGAGAATTAACATGTAATGAAGTAGCTTTTTTTTTTAATACAAGAGCAATTTGTGCAGCAAAGGCATCCACAAAATGGATGATAATAGAGCATGGGTGGCCAGTGTGGAATTAGACCAGCAAAGAGCAAGTTATCCAGATTGGAACTATATCATAATTATGGTTTTCCCTCTGACGATCGGGGCCATGCCCCCAACGTGAGCAACGTGGTTGCGTCACCTCTGGTGATGCAACCACGCTGCGCTTCGGGGGGCGGAGTTCCCCCCGGGGCCTGATTCCGCGGTGGCGGAAATCGGGCCTCCAAAGTGGGGTTTTACCCACCACCTGCCCCCCCTTGGCAGCCCTACCTCTGACTCTGTGACTGTAGCAATAAGCAACATTCCACATACCTTCCTTTGATCGCTTCATGTGCTCCCTCAGTCTGGAGAGCTCTACTCGCAGTGGCCAGCAACTCCTCCTCCCTATCCCCATGTTCCACCAGTTTGTGAATTTTTAGATGTAAAAAATTTGAGATTTTATAGAAGCTGATCCATGTACACCAAAATGTGCTTAGCTTCCCTACCTGCAATCCATTCTCCTCTCCTGATCCAGAGTACATATCCAGCCAGTTTTTAATAATGCATATAATGCCCAAACTACATCATAATCTTACACAAACACATATCCAGAAATCCATTAAGGCTTCCCGTGATGTACAAATCCAAAAGTTTTCAAAGAGAAGCAGTGAGAAAAACTCTTCACAGGATTAAGATTCTACTTTTATGCAAGAGCGCTGTCAAATTTGCTGTTCTGAGAATTTTCTCCTCACTATTTTTAATGTACGCTACTGCAGCTGGACACCATGAAATGTTAACCCTAAGCACAAATACACACGGAAAATGCAGAAGTATGTTGTAACAGGATGCGCTTTGTGTGTGAATGAGGATCACATGCCACTGCACAGTTCTGTTAGGAAAAACCCTGTCACACTGAGGTTCAGCTACCAGCCTCATATCATATGCTAGAAGGGAAGGGAAGGATGTCTGTGTGTAGTTCCTTACCGCTTCCAGAGCACCTCTAATGGCACCACACAGGAGACTGCAATAGCAAAGTGAAGATCGCGCTGCTGGCAATTCTTCCACAAAGTCGACCAGGGGATTCTTATCCAGAATGAGGGAGAATTCGTTCCTCTTGGCGTTGGTGCAAGTCACACTAGGGGTGACACCCAGATACATCTGGAAAGCACCCTAGAAAACCAAGAGGATATGTGCGTCATCTCATCACCATGTCACAATTTTTTTCACAGCCCTTTATCTAACAGGGCCATTCTTGCTTTGCTCTTCTGCAGTTTGCTAGAGCCAGAACTATAGCAGTAGATTCACATCACATCACACTTAAATTGTGCCAAATTCAAACAAAGTCACACAATGCCACATTACAAAAGGATGCATCTGTTGGTGTGATGGAGTGGTGGCCTAAGAAGAGGGTTGCCCAGGAAAAAAATTGTCCTGTCCTTTTAATAGAGGCTTGTGTGTTGTTTATCAGGCAACTTTTGCTACAGAAACCTTCAACTGCCTATCTCCACACATTCAGCCTCTTTTAAAAGGGACAGGACACCCCCCCCCCAGGCCTGTCAGCAATCCTGCCTAAGGGGGAGTGCTGTGGTTAGATGCAGAGGAAGGGACTGGAAAAACCTCAGAAACTGAGAGGAGAGAAAAACAGACTTTGGGTCCCAAAAAGAGCGGATGGACATGTGCCACTGATCACCTGATACATTCAGCCATCTCTTTGGCAATGAGTTGAGTGGTTGTAAACAAAGAAACAAAACTCTGAAGAAATGACACCTTCCTTCTCTAAGGTTTCACTGTAAGAAGTGGGTTGAGGGGTATGGTCTGAATGTTCAACTTAACAATAACTTATTTCAGATACAAAAAAGGAATTTATTTATGGGCAAAAGAAGAAAACATGCATGGAATTTGGAACAAGTTCAGTCCTAACTGGGGACCAGGGAGAAACACAAAGGCAAAGCGTGATAGAAGTATAAACACATCAGACTAGCTGGACACATTTCTGAGCAAAATTATCAAATACCTTGGGGCTTAAACACCAGAGTCCAGCCTACCTCCTCACTCTGCCAGCATGGAGCCCATGGCTGTTTGTATCTTTAAACACATCTGTGAATTCTAGAGCTCAGTTTGTTTATTCAGATATTTATGTCCCACTTGTCTCCACAGTAGGCACCCAAGGTGGCTTTTCACATCCTTCTCCCTTCCTCCATTTTACCTTCACAGCAACAACGTCATAAGGCAGGTGAGGCTGACAGAGAGTGACTGACCCACGGGCATCCTGCAAGCTTCTACAGCGGAGTGAGGATTCAAATCTGATTCAGATCCTAGCCCAGACTGTTTAACCATTATACCACACTGCCTCTCACACCGGCTTAGTTCCAGCAAGAAACCTGGGGCCTGTCAGATGAGGTTCCATCGTCCAGTCGAGATGTGCTGTGGACCACTCACAAGTTACTCCTGCTAGCTTGCCATGCTCATTTGACTTTGGAGGATCTATGCCATGCTGCTTGGAGAACCCGTTCACTTACCCACTAAGCCTTCCTTCCATCTTCAGCAGCATGGTGGCAGGGCTGCTGAGAGCCACCATGGGCCACCGGACAAAGACTGCACCTGCCACCCCCCATATGACCATGATCTAAATCAAATATCATAACAAAACAAACCAACCACTTGGCTTGCTGTTACCATGGATCTATAGCAATAAAAGAATCGGCCTGTCTGTCCATCTGTTATTTATTTATATTCCACCTCACTCCCCAATGGGAATAGAGTTGCCAGCTCTGAATTGGGAAATACCTGGAGATTTTAGGGGTGGAGCCTGAGGGTGCGGTTTGGGGAGGGGAAGAACATCAGCAGGGTATAATGCCATAGAGTCCACCCACCAAAGCAGCTATTCTCCCCAGAGGAAATTATTTTGTTCATCTGGAGATCAACTGTAATAGCAGGAGATCTCCAGGTTCCACCTGGAGGTTGGCAACTTTAAATAGAAGCCCAAAGCAGCTTACATCATTCTCCTCTCCTCCATTTTATGCTCACGACAACCCTGCAAGGTAGGTTAGGCTGAGAGTGTGTGACCGGCCAAAGGTCACCCAGCAAGCTTCCGCAACAAATTAGGGATTTGAACCTAGGTTAACCAGATCCTAGTCCAACACTTTAACTACTACATAAGAACATAAGAATATAAGAGACGCCAATGTTGGATCAGGCCAAAGGCCCATCCAGTCCAACACTCTGTGTCACACAGTGGCCAGAAATACCAGTGCCATCAGGAGGTCCAGCAGTGGGGCCAGGACATTAGAAGCCCTCCCACTGTTGACCCCCCCCCCCAAGCACCAAGAAGACAGAGCATCACTTGCCCCAGAGCCCCTAGCTATACCTTGTGGCTAATAGCCACTGATGGACCTCTGCTCCATATGCTTATCTAATTCCCTTTTGAAGCCGTCCATGCTTGTAGCCGCCACCACTTCCTGTGGCAGTGAATTCCATGTGTTAATCACTCTTTGGGTGAAGAAGTACTTCCTTTTATCCGTTCTAACCCGACCGCTCTGCAGTTTCATGGAGTGCCCACGAGTTCTTGTATTGTGAGAAAGGGAGAAAAGTACCTCTTTCTTTACCTGCTCTTTCCCATGCATAATCTTATAAACCTCGATCATGTCACCCCTCAGTCGTCTTTTCTCCAAGCTAAAGAGCCCTAAGCACTTTAACCTTTCCTCATAGGGAAAGTGTTCCAACCCTTTTATCATTCGAGTTGCCCTTTTCTGCACTTTTTCCAAAGCTATAATATCCTTTTTAAGGTGTGGTGCCCAGAACTGCACACAGTATTCCAAATGAGGTCTCACCATTGATTTATATAGGGGCATTATTATATTGGCTGATCTGTTTTCAATACCCTTCCTAATAATCCCCAGCATAGCATTGGCCTTCTTTATTGCAGTCACACACTGTCTCGACATTTTCAGTGAGTTATCCACTACAACTCCAAGATCTCTCTCTTGCTCAGTCTCTGCCAGTTCAGACCCCATCAATGTGTATTTATATTTAGGATTTTTGGCTCCAATGTGCATCACCTTGCACTTGGCCACATTGAACCCCATTTGCCATGTTGACGCCCACTCGCCCATCCTTGACAGATCCCCTTGGAGTGCCTCACAATCCTCACTGGTTTTCACCACCCTGAACAACTTTGTATCATCCGCAAATTTAGCCACTTCACTGCTTACTCCCATCTCCAAATCATTAATGAACAAGTTAAAAAGCAGTGGACCAAGTACTGATCCCTGCGGTACCCCACTGCTTACCACCCTCCACTGAGAAAATTGCCCACCTACACTCACTCTCTGTTTTCTATGAACTAGCCAGTTTTTGATCCATAAAAGGACTTGTCCTTCTATCCCATGATTTTTGAGCTTACTTAGGAGCCTTTGATGAGGAACTTTATCAAAAGCTTTCTGGAAGTCAAGGTAAATAATATCTATTGGATCCCCCTTGTCCACATGTTTGTTCACCCCCTCAAAGAACACTAACAGGTTAGTGAGACAAGATCTTCCCTTACAGAAACCGTGCTGAGTCTGCCTCAATAGGTTTTGTTCATCTATGTGCCTACTAATTCTTTCCTTAATAATGGTTTCCACCAATTTACCCGGTATCGACGTCAGACTGACTGGCCTGTAATTTCCCGGATCTCCTCTGGAACCCTTTTTAAAGATGGGAGTGACATTAGCTACCTTCCAATCCTCAGGAATGGAGGCAGATTTTAAGGAAAGATTACATATCTTTGTCAGGAGATCTACAAGTTCACATTTGAGTTCTTTCAGAACTCTCGGATGTATGCCATCTGGGCCTGGTGATTTTTCAGTTTTTAAGTTGTCTATCAGTTTTAGGACCTCCTCTCTCGTCACCTCAATCTGACTCAGGTCTTTCAACACCCCTCCTGAAATCAGTGGTTCTGGAGTGGGCAAGCACTTCTCATCTTCCACAGTGAAGACGGAGGCAAAAAATGCATTTAGCTTCTCAGCCATTTCCCTATCATCCTTCAATACTCCTTTTACCCCTTGGTCGTCCAAGGGCCCCACTGCCTCCCTGGCTGGTTTCCTGTTTCTAATGTATTTGAAGAAAGTTTTATTGTTGGTTTTTACGTTTTTTGCTATATGCTCCTCATATTCCCTTTTTGCCTGCCTGACCTCAGACTTGCATTTTATTTGCCATAGCCTGTGTTCCGTTTTATCAGCCTCACTGTGACTAGCTTTCCACTGCTTAAAGGAATTCTTTTTACTTTTTACAGCCTCCATTACTCTGTTTGTTAACCATGCAGGCTTTTTCCTATACCTGTTTGTGCCTTTCCTAACCTGCGGAATATATATTTTTTGAGCTTCTAGGATCGTAGTTTTAAATAGATCCCAAGCTTCCCCAATTGTTTTGACCCTTTCTACTTTTCCTTTCAGTTTCCTCCCCACGTGTCCCCTCATATCAGAGAAATTACCCCTTTTAAAGTTAAAAATGGTTGTGTGAGTCTTTTTGGCCAATTCTCTATTTGTACAAATGATGAACTCAACAACATTATGATCACTGTTTCCAAGCGGTGCAATCACTTTTACATCTCTCACCAGGTCTTGAGTGTTACTTAGGACCAAATCAAGGATCGCCTCTCCCCTGGTAGGTTCCGTGACCATCTGCTCCATAGCACAGTCATTTAGAGTGTCTAGAAACTCAATCTCTTTTTCCCGGCTAGAACACATATTGACCCAATCAATGTGTGGGTAGTTAAAATCACCTATTATTACACAGTGTTTTTGTCTAGTTGCTATCTTTAAGGCATTCATCATTTTATAATCCTCCTCTATCTTTTGATCTGGTGGGCGATAACAAACTCCCAGTGTTAAGTTTCCTTTTGGCCCCCCTATTTCAACCCATAGAACTTCCAGAAGCGAATCCAATTCATTTAGCCTCTCAATCTTTCTAGACTTTATACCCTCTCTGACATACAGAGCTACCCCACCTCCAACCCTTCCCCCCCTATCCTTCCGATATAATATATAACCGGGAATCACTGTGTCCCACTGATTTTCCTCATCCCACCAAGTTTCAGAAATACCCACAATGTCTATTTTTCCCTCCGACACCAAGCACTCCAACTCCCCGATTTTACCTCGGACACTTCTACACCACACTGGCAGGCATAA